TCCTTTCCTTTTAGATCATGAATACTGTACATTGTATTTTAGTAGAATTTGATTCCCTTGTAGGTATCAACATTTTTCTCTACAAAACAAAAACATGAGATAGCTCAATTCAAAAATGTCACTTGTTTACCCAAGAAACTACCTTCTGAAGACAAGATTGTCCCAGAAATTCTGAATCTCTAGATCACATTATCTTGAAGGTACTGTGGGGATGCCTGGTGTGTGACATTCAATGTATAAATGAGTAATATCAACAGTGAGGACCCTAAGAAATCAGAGACAGCTTCCTAGTGGACTCCCTGGTTGATACCAGGACCCAGAGCTTTCCACTGAATCAGAAGAGGAAAGAGATTTAGAGAGGGAGAGAAAGACAAAAGAGACAAACTCGTCATGTGAAGCCAAGTGGATTCCAAGGTTTCAAGATCAGGAAAATTAGTACAACATGATCACCTTAGCCATCCTCGCAATGATATTTGTTCTCCTTGTGAGTGAGAATGAGGCAGGATTCAGCCATCATGTCTGGTGTGAACACTTCAGAGACATCTTCCTAAAATCCTGGGGAGAGGTACTTCTTCCCTGTTCCATCGTCTTCTCCATCTACCTGTGTGACATACCACGCTCTTTGCTTTGTGACCCAGATGACTTCAATTTCACCAGCAGACATTGGTGAGAGGTAGAGAGTAGAAATCAGGTGTCCACTTTTCCAACTAAGGGATATTGGACAATTTACATCTAACCTTGTGTTGATATTCTCTAATGGTGTAGGAAACTTACATGGTTCTTGTGAAGATCAAATGTTTACCAAGCATCTAAGGCCATCCTAGGAACAGACAAGTCTCTAAATATGTGGGGTTGGTTGTTGCTTTCTCTACCACCAGGTCTGCCTGAGTTATCTAGTGCTGCTATAACAGAAATACCACAAGTGGATGGCTTTAACAAAGAGAAATTTTTCTCTCACAGTCTAAGAGTCTAAAAGTCCAAACTCAAGGTGCCAACTCCAGGGGAAGGCTTTCTCTTTGTCAACCCTGGGGGAAGGTCTTTGTGATCAGTCTTCCCCTGGTCTAGAAGCTTCTCAGCACAGGAACACCAGGTCAGAAGATGTGTTCCCCTCCTGATTCTTTATTGTTGGTGGCATGAGATTCCGTCTCCTCTCTGCTTGATTCTCCCTTTTATATTTCAAAAGAGATTGACTCAAATTACATCCTAATCCTGTAGATTAAGCCCTGCCTCATTAACATAACTTCCTCTAATTCCACCTCATTAACATCACAGAGGTAGGATTTACAACACACAGGAAAATTGTATCAGATAACAAAATGTGGACAACCGTACAATACTGGGAGTTATGCCCTAACCAAGTTGACACACATTTTGGGGGGACACAATGCAATCCATAACAAGGTCCAACACAAAGCCAGGCCCATTATATGTGCTCCTTGGATAGGTTGGATTGCTGAATTAATCAGTAAATTAATTGGAGACGGTTGGCAGTATATCCTTGCTATTTCCCCCAATATCTCTAAAACTGAGAACAATATGTTTTGGTGGAGGCTGACAAGGAAATGGGCAGTAATTAGGAGATATAAACCATGTAGGCAAGCAAGAAGAGTAGGAGGGCAATGTCAAGCACCAAGTCATTGAGACAGTAACTGCCTTTTTGGAGTAACATGATAACACAGGTACTCCTCCTTACCCCAAGTTACAGAATTTGAGATCTGAGAAAGTACTGTGCAAAAAATGGGGTCCAAAGGAGGCTAAATCCCTCCAAGGGCAGCAGAGGCCCAAGTTCTCACCTTAAACAAACTTTTTTCTTTCCTTACCCAAGGCCACTCTATCAAGGTAGCAAGCGAAGACTGCTTCACAATGAAGATTCCAACCTAGAGAATGGCAGTGTGCAGATAATTTAGTCCCTCTGTCTTTTTTTTTTCAAATCTTCTGTCTTACTCATAAACTATTCTTTTAGCTCTTCCCCAGTCCCTCATTTCTTGGTCTCATCCAGGTAGTTGAGGTCTTTGGATCATTATTATTCAGATGCTCAACACTCAGCACTTCATAGATGCACATTTGGTTTTTGTTGAGATGATCATATCAAGGCTGAACCTCCAGAATAGCCAGTATGAGGTTAGGAGCAAATTTCCTCCATTTGGAGATGTAATGCAGGGTAAGATACACTGTCACTTGAGCCTCTGCGACAGATGCACTGATGCTGATGGAAACTTGGTTGTAGCGTATCTCAGATTTGGTCAATATTAATTTATTTTCTTTTTTTTTATTATACTTTAGGTGAAGGCTTACAGAAAAAATATTTTCTCATGAAACAGTAGTACACATATTGTTTTATGACATTGGTTAACAGCCCCACAACATGTCAACCCTCTAACTTCTCAACAATTTTTTTTTGTGAAAATACACATAACCAAAGATACACCATTTCAAAAATTTCTACATGCCCAGTTCAGTGACATTGACTACGCTCTTCCAATTGTGCTGTTACTCTCACTTAAGATGAAGGCTTACAGAACA